ACCCCGCACAACATGATCTACTCGACCACCATTATGGTTACCGCCAAAAAAAAAAACACGGAGGGGGGGGGTTGTTTTACAACGTCGTTGGCAAGCGACGAAAACCCAACCCCGATGGCAAACACCGGGGGGGAGCTGAGGGGGGGAGGGGGTGTTGGGGTGATGGAAAAGGTGACGATATGCGCGTGGGGGCTGGCTGCGTGATTTGGTTGTGTCAGCTGAGGTGGACTCCAGCGCAGCCCTTGTCCTTCGGAGATGTGATCGCCGGGCACGCGTACGGTTCAGCTACTGTAAGGTGGCGTCTGTCGCGGTTTGACTTTACTCGTAGCGGATGCGGCTGACGCAGCAAAGTACTGACAGCTGGGGGCAGGGCAGGGCTTTGCGGGCGATACTTGCAAGGGCGTGGGAGTTTCGTGATTTTTTGCTCGTGTCGTCTTCTGGGTACACTTCTGCTTCGCAACATGGGGTGCAACAGAAGCGAATCGATCGGTGCCGTACTTCAAACCAATCCCAAACTGGCCCCTTTTTCTCCATCTCCCTTCCGCTACGCCCCGCAAAAACACACAACGCACTCCCTGGATCGTGTTGCCTATTTTTTTCTCACTTGGTTTTTCAGGCAATCGAGTGTCTCCGCGGCCTGCTTGGGGAGTTCCGTGGCAGCAGCAGCGACGGCGCAAGATCGCCATCACCGGCAGCGGCAGCCTCAGCTGCGGCTGGGCGAGGGGATGGCGACAAGCACGATGGTGCCGGTGGTGGCGGGGCGACGACAGCGGCGTACGGTGAGCTCGCGAGGGTGACCCAGGGACGTCTGGAGTGGCTCAGGCAGCGCCTAAGAGCTCAGCTCTCCTCCGAGCTCGCCGCCGCTCTTCGCCAGGCGGACCCCCTCGCGGCCGCCCCTGGGAAGGGGGCCGGAAGTGGAAATNGGGGGGGGGGGGGGGGGGGGGGGGGGGGGGGGGGGGGGGGGGGGGGGGGGGGGGGGGGGGGGGGGGGGGGGGGGGGGGGGGGGGGGGGGGGATGGTCTTGTGGTGGTGCTTCTCGCTCCCAGAGCGCTAAACCTGCCGCGCTCAAACGCACTCTGAGAGGGACACCCTGAGCCGTAAACTCAAGGGCTCGCGTGCCGCCAAAAATGTTGGTTTGTAGGAACACACACACATACGCCGCGCACACAAAAACCCACGCCTTCAAGCACTCACACTACCGAATATTTCCTTCTTTCGTACAGGCGGCAACCACCCGTCTCGTTGGGCTGCAATTCGGTGGATCGCCACGACCCAACCCACCGTCTCCGGTTGGTGGCAGCGTCGTGAGACGAGCTTCCGGCGGCAGCGGCGGGGCAGCGGGGAACGGGGACTCGGTGTGGGCGTTGGACGGTCTTCTTGAGCCGGTGGCGGTGCGCTTCCGCTTTCACTTTGAGGGGGAGAGGCCGACCAACAGAGTCGACCGTGAGCAAGCCGCCTCTGTGTGTTGAGGCTTTGGAGACGTGCACCGTGGTATCTCCAACTACCCCATACCATCCCATTTAGGTCGAGTCCCTCCCCCGCATCCGGACCCACCTCGCTTCCCCGCCGCCCCTCCTCACCACATGATGCTATGTCCGTGCTTCTGTTCTCATCCCCCACTCCTTCCCTCCCCTTCCTCCGGCCCACCTCCCTCCCCTCTCCAC